ATTAATGTGGAAGTGTCAGTCCTTCAAGGTAGATCAGACTAGAAAATGAATACCATTTTGTCTTGATAGAGGCTCTTCCTCCTATTATTAAGTTCATTCTCTTTTCTTTCAATAGGAAGTGACTTTATTTTTTAATTCATATACACTGAACTACATGTGGATTTAATATAAGTAATAATATACAGAAATCAGTATCAAATCCTGATTTATGAGAGCATAAATAAGATGATTCAATTTCCAGATTCCATTGAGTATATGATTTGGAATAGATCACAACCATACAACATCTAAAGAGTGATAATTTTCCCATTATATACTTTGATTAAAAAAAGGAAAGAATATAACCAAGACTCCTAGAGTGATACAGGTGCTGATAAAAATAAGCATCCTATAATGAAGTTCATTGGGTGTTCTTGGACTGCTGCTGCTGCTTCCAACTTGATAAGGTGAGGCTAAAATTATTGCTCCAGGCTGCTTGATGAAGAGAGTTGTGACTATTCCATGATTTTGCTGCCTGTCATCTCTTGATCATAGATCGGTTCCTTGGCTTATTACATTGCTGCTAACTCTAATGAAAGATAAGCTACGCATGGCCTGTGAAGACCTCTTACCAGAATGAAGACGCTCCTGAAATTACTACCAATAGTCCTAAGATATGAAAGAAATTTCAACATATTCCTGAAATGCCAGTCAAAAAAAATCACGCCATGAATCTCAACCATCTATTGTGCAAAAAAGAAATGAAGCAAGAGAGGAAACAGCAGCTAAACCTGATCCAGATCTACTGAGAAATAGAACATGCCGTCTGCTAAAGAGCATCCTAAAATAACCTCTATGCTAACCAAATGCTCTAAGATTGAGTAATTGATTGGGAAACCTCTTTCTGATCTAATTTGTTGGCTGCTGAAAACTCACCACTTTGGTTCCAAGATGGTTTGGTTATTTTTTCATCCTCTTTTCCAAGCATAGCCCTAGAATTCAACTAAATGAATCCTTTTAAAAAAACTATAATAAATGTCCTAATTACAGGCACTGACCAATTATATCACGAGCAAATTTTTAAAAATCTTTTTTTTCTAAAAACAAAATTCATAGTGTAACCCTATAAATGCGATAATACAAGGAAATCTGAATATTAATGCTAACAGTAACAAATTATCTTGTGAATAAACCAAAAGGCTTACATTTTATTTATTTCATTAATTACGGCTTCTCAGTCCAGCAAATTATTGATAGCTTACAATATAAAATAATAATGTGAGAGTGAGTCTAGTACAATACAACAGGACTAATAATGACATTTCAGAAAAGGAAAAAAATTGAATTATATATTAGTCGGGTTGTGTAAGTCAAAATAGTTTCCTATGTAAGGCAATATAGCTGAAAGAAATGTTGCAACTCTCCAAAAGACATTAGTGCTCGTGTCTACCGATAAGCAGCAAATGGAATTGTCCTTAAACACTAGTGAGATTACAGAATTATAAGAGTAGAACACAAGATGCTCTAGAAATTGTCTTTAGGAAATATATGGGCTAGAAATTTTAGTTTCTCCAAGTCACAGAGACAGGTTTGCATTGCAAAAGAGTTACTAGACCTCCTCTCCAAAACTGCAAAGAGCAAGACATTAAAGCTGGCTAAAGGAAAGGTTCTGCAGTGTGTTGGGGCAATAACAATAAATAGTTAAATTGCTGGCTTGAAAAGTTTCAGATTTGTATGTTGTCAGTGTCAGTGTCTGTCTAATTTATCCTGCTTTAACTGGAGAGTTACATCAAACATCCACTGCCAGACAGTGACTCTAGCTCTCGATAACCCTATACTAGATGGCTGAATTTAAGAAGTCATACATTGGCATAAATTATTCTAGTTTTTGATTTCTAGGAAGAAGGAAAATATCCAGAATGATCATGGCAATCAGGGCGCTTGAGCCAGAAATAAAACTGGCATATGCAAGCATTTGATTTTAGTGAAATTATCTCAGTTTCTGTTTGAAGTGGTGCATTTGAGATTCAACAAGGTACTTAGAATAACATTCTTAGAAATCTGGATTCAGTGATATTTAAAAGCTTTAAGTTATACTCATGTAATCTGACATACGTTTAGTACTAAAGAATTATATGGCTAGAGGTATGTTCTTAGCTCTTTAGGTGTACAGGAGGATGAATTCTGGTCTATGACATTACCTCTCAAATGTTTTTTTACATCACCACAAAATTTAGGCTTTGTACATTAAAGGGATAGCAGGTAATGACCTTAATAGAGAGTACAAGATCCACTACATTCATCTGTGATTTATCTTAATGCAACCTCTTTAGTCTGGTAGCGTCAGCCCTTTGAGCCCTTTGAAAAAGATTAGGCTGTTTGGTTTATAGTTTTTTAGATCTTGAGATTTCACTCGGAACCTTCCTTCACTAATTTTCATGCACTTATTCTAGGTCTCAAGTACAATATTTTTGAGTTCTGTGAGTAGTACAAGTACCATAAGTGATATTCAGAAGTAGTCTAGGACATATGTACACTTACCATTTTAGATGCTCCTGTACTGCACTTATACCAAGTGACTTCTAAACCAGTTTACGAAACCTTCTCTAGACTTGCATATTATTAAATCTCAACTGCCGGTTACATATCCTCTAATTCCCTGCTACTATGACCTCCCACATTTGTATTTTAGGAAAGCAGTGGCCAATCTCTTTCTTTCTTATGCACATTTCTTTTTGCACTTAGCTTTTCTTCAACACATGTACACAAAATTGGTAAGTGTATGTTTACAAAATTAAAACATCAAAATGCAAAAACATGAAGGCACGTTATTTAAAAAATCCTTCTTTCCAACATGTATATACTAAAGTTCTATACCTCTTTTTATTAGCACTTAAGAACCAGCATAGTGGTTAAAAGGAATAATAACTTTTAGAGTAGAAAAAAATGTAGAAAGGATCAATATTTCTGCCCTTTAAAAATGGTTACCAGCCAGTTTTGACAAAGAGGCAAGAGGTAAAGTCTAAATATGATTGTCCCAATTTTTGCAGCCCAAATATGGTAGCCATAGTGTTCCAGAGACAGATTAAATTCATACAACTGCTTGTACAGATAACAGATATAAATCAATATAACATAAAGGTGCAAAGAAGGGAAGTTTGAACTAATGATATCCAAATAAATAATACACAGATACAATGCCCAAGCTACTGACCCAAACAATTGTATTTATCTTCCATGCTAGTAAGATAATACTCATGATTTTTCAACTTAGAATTTAAGAATGCAAAGAATGAGAATTTTTATAGAAGTAGACATTTGTTTAAGAAAACAGAATAGCCAGGATCATACTGTAAACATCCAATGGAAGCAAAGCTAAGCAAAAAAATCTCTACTTACCTTTTTCCTTTATTGACTATAAATTACCAAGGATTTTGTCTGTACAACAAACTGCAGATATACTGTGCGTACTTAAAAAAAAGCCCTTTCAAGAAATTGCTGGTTGGAGGTAAACCCAAGCAACTTAAAATGTCTCCAGCTGTATGTGGTTTTGAGAAAGCTGGCTCCATCAGGAGCCAATTCAGGTGCAGCCACAGGCCAATGGTGTGACCTGTTCTTTCCTCTAGAAAGGAAAGTGGTGGCTGAGGAGACGACAAGCTACAGAGGCATCTGCGGTGTGTGTGTATGTGTAGTCTACTCCAAAATGAGTCCAAATCTGAGATTCAACAACTTGACATTAGTCATTCTCATAAAAGCAGAAAGATTTGGCGGGCACCACTACATGTCACACAAGCCTGAAATGGCCAACTAATCCTGCCCCTGGGAATGTGATTGGCTCCCACCCTCCTGATCTGCCACAAGATCTTGAAGACCTGGTTCTCCTAGTTGGCCTGGGGGGCTCCTATGGGGGAGTGTCACACTGGAGGTGGTTGATAGATTAATAACAGATTCCATACACCCCTGCTCATCCCATTCCCTCCCCATGTTTTAGATATAGTTGATAATTTGTATTTTTATAGTGTTTTATACATGTTTTTTTCTTTTTAACATGGTAAGCTGTCCAAAGTCACCTCATGGCAAGATGGAGAGCAAACAAATTTAATAAATAAATTAAAAATAAAATATATGCCAGGATACTTTACTGTGCTATGGACACAAAGGACAATTTATGCCTGTACAGGTAGAACTTGATGTACGACCACAATTGAGCTCAAAATTTATGTTGCTAAGTGAAACATTTGTTAAATGGGTTTTGCCCCATTTTACAACCTTTGTTGCCACAGTTGTTAAGTGAATCACTGCAGTTGTTAAGTTAGACACATGGTTGTTAAGTAAATCTGGTTTCTCCATTGACTGCTTGTCAGAAGGTTGCAAAAGGGAATCACATGACCCCGGGACACTGAAACCATTATAAAATATGAATCAGTTGCCAAGTGTCTGAATTTTGATCATGTGATCACAGGGATGCTGCAGTGATTGTAAATGTGAAAAACGGTCATAAGTCACTTTTTTCAGTGCCATTGTAACTTCGAACGGTCACTAAATGAACTATTGTATGTTGAGGACTACCTGTATTTCTAATGGGTTAAAGGTGAGAGGAAGGAAACTTCATGGAGATATAACAGTTGCCTAGGTAATTTCATATCATATTCAAAGACAAGTGGGGGGGGGAACCCTATCCTATACTCAAATGAAAATATATTCCCCGAAGAGTATCTGCCTTGAGTGATAGCATCTCTCTTCAGCAAGCAGGGATAGAAATTCAGCGGATTCTGGATTTATCTTATTTCAGGGAGAATTTGGCAACTTTAAGATGTGTGGGCTTCAATACTCGATGGGGAATTCTGAGAACTGAACTCCACGCATCTTAGAGTTGCCAATTTTTGACAAACACCGCTTTATTCGTTTCCTCGCACCTCAAGGCGTTCGGGAGCAGCAATACCGAACGCAGCGCCGCCCAAGCAGCAGAGGTCGCTGCGGCGATCGCTCGTTCCGGGCCAATCTCTCGCCTTGGGGAAAGGGGTGGGAAAAGTAGGAAGCCAAACGGAGGCCGGACTTTTGCTGCTCTTTTTATTCCGACCTTCAGCACACTTCAGCCTTTCCGCTGAGTTTGTGACCGACGAGTCTTCTCGGCTGCAGCCCGTCCGGATGGCTTCTTTGAATCCCGCCGGCGAGGAAGACGCCTTCGGCCGCTACCGCTCCCCTCTTGTCTCGCGCTATGCCAGCCCCGACATGGCCTATAACTTCAGCGAGAGGAAGAAGTTCAGCACCTGGCGGAGGCTCTGGCTTTACTTAGCCCAGGCTGAGAAGGTGCGGGGCCCGCATGGTTGCCAGATTAGGGTGATCTAGACTGGTGCTTAGAGGTTTCAGAATCGCTTTGCTGTTGTTGAGCGGTCATCAATCAGAGGGAACAATGGCCCTAATGCTGTATGTCAGTATTTAAATGGCGAGGCAGGCAATCGCTTGGGGGGCGGGCAGCGTAGGCTTTTGGACTGGCGTTGCTGTGCCGATCAGCGTTGCTCCTTCCGCCCCTTTTTTCTCCATTCATATTTGCCACTCAAAACCCTCAGAAGCGAATACTGTAATCACATTTCTTATAATCCGGTAACTTCTAAGCCTGATGTTGGGCTTCGGGCCAGAATCCCCTGCCAGCCAGGTAGGCGATACAGAACCTGAGGTCAGCATATATTGGTGAGGATTGTAGAAGTTGGCCTGGAAGGCATCAAGTATGGGAAAAAACAGCCTTGTATTAGGCACAAGGCACTCCATAATTTTTGTACACCTTTTCATTAATTTTGTTCCGCTTCCCTGTATTGATTACTCTTTTGACCATATCAAAACAATGGGTATCGGCCACAATAAGGCACAATTAAATGAGCTAAGATAAGCTACAATAAAATAAAAATGAGAGATAAAATAGTGTACAATTGAATAAAATACAGAGACATACAATGAGTACTAAAATATAAAACAGTACATGTTTAGGTGAATTAATCAGCTTTACATGCAAAGCAGCATTTGCATTTCTTGCGGATGAGGAGAGCACATCTTTTTCCTTCTGTCCTGGCCACTTTTTATAGAGGGACGATTGAAAGCATTTTAACAAACTGCATCTCTGTTTGGTTTGGCAGTAGCGGTGCCTCAGATAGAAGGTCCATACAGAGAGTGGTAAGGATAGTTGAGAAGATTATAGGAAGCTCGCTTCCCATTATTAGGATACTGCTTAGAAGCACTATGTGCTTAAAGCTTGAAGCATTGTTAGAGACCCCACACACCCACTTCATGGTCTATTTCTGTTGCTCCCCTCTGGGAGGAGGTTTCGAAGTATTTATAGCAGAACTAGATTCTGTAACAGCTTTGTTCCTTATGCCATCTCTCTTGTAAATTCGCAGGATCCTTTTTTTTTTTTTTTTTGCCATGTGTATACATTCATACTAGACTGTGATGTTTCTCTGTGTCTTATGTGTGTGTATGTGGGTATATGCATAATGGTATTTTTCTGAGAATTGAATGCAACAAAATTTCATTTTAATATATGCTGAATAGTGTACATTTAAAGTGACAATAAAGTTTTTATTGTATTCTAACTCCAATGTGGTCTATAAAACATATTCTCAGTTGGACAACCCCAACTATAAATTTAACAGTTCTAATGACTATATAAGATTGTGTCATAAAGGAAATAAGACAATCTTTTGTAATCATCCCATTAAATAGTTCTGTCAAGTAGAGTCGTTAAGACCTGAGCTCTTGCTGGGGCTTCCTGCTTAGTAAAACAGTTAAAATTCTGCATTTAGTGTTCTTGAACAAAATATCATTCTTTGCTGCACATGATTGCTTTTCTTATCTGTCTGTCGCTTCTTAAATTTTATATTATATTCCTAAATTGTTTCACTTTTTTATCTTTTGATAATTCCACCTGCACTGAATTTTAACTTACATTCATGGCTGTTCCTGTCATAATTTTACTTTTAGTGTGTATGTAATATTTAAAAAAACAGTGACAATTGGGACCATGTTGGAAAGGGTGACATCATGTTATTGTGCCACTTAGCCATGGTAATTCTGACAATCCAAAATGCCATTATTAAATGACCACATGGGTCATTAAGCGAGGACCTCACATGATTCTAACTTCAGACTTCCTGGTGGCTTCCCCATTGACTTTGTTTGTGGGAAGCTGGCAGGAAAGCTCAAAAACAACAATTACTGACCATGGGATGCTGTGTTATAATCATGAGCTGGGTGCTGAGTTCCCAGATCACAATCGTATGACTGTGGGGACACTGACAGCCAGAATTCTGAGGATAGCTACCACTCATTCAGCATTGTCATAAACTTCAACAGTTGCTGAACGAATAATTGTTAAAAAAGAACTGCCTGTATAAAACAACCTTTATTAGAATAAGAGAATATATCTCTAACAAGAGCATATTGTTTAAGCAATACTTCTTATGTAGCCCAAAGATCTCTGAGCAGAGAGGTTTTGTAGGAATTCAAAGGCATACATATAGTTAGGAAATACTAACTGGTTTTATTTATTGGTTCTCATTCTTCCCCATTTTCATTCTAGGAACTTTTAAAATTTCAGTTAGCCATGGCTAAGTATATTGTCCTTAAACAAAGAAATATTTTTTCTACTCTCTTTCTCAAACTTCTAAACAAGTTTTTAAATCTGGATTATGTTCTTTACTATTATTACTGTAACTGGAGAACAGTTTTGACGTAGCTAGACTTTCTAAATACATAAAAACAGATTTAAGCAAACAGATTTCACATGTAGCTGTGAGATAACTTGATAATGGTAAGTCAACGCTCAAAGTTGCAGTTTGTGAATTGCATCACCTGCAACGGTTTCTGTTTTCCCGGCCTGCATTCAGATTAATCATTACAATGTTATATTAGAGAATGGTTTGAAGCAAATGTATTTCAAAATAGTTCATTTTTTTGCCAGGAGGGTAGTAACAAAAATCTAAACATAATTTCTCAGCCGTTTATAATATTAAGCTGTTTCTTTTTGTGCATCACATATTATGTGCTCTATTTTTTCTTCAGCTTAGAAGGAATTATAATTTTATTAAACTATAATAATGTTTTAATATATATATTTCATTTCAGAAACAAATTTTGTAAAACAGAAGTTAATAAAGTTGACTTTATCTTCTATTCTAAATATTAAATCTGTTGAGCTACTATTAAGATAAGTTCCTTTGCCTGAAACATAAATAGTATATTCTCCTTAAATTCTTGGAGCATTTGTTTTAGATGGGCAAGTTTGGGGGAGTCATGGCATCCTTTGCAATCTAAATTCCCCCTCCCTCCTTTAGGGTGATTCATTTCAGATTGATCCATTGTTTACTTTCTGCTTGAGTTTCACCCCTGAACTGTCCTAAAGTTGCAGTAAGAATGTAATGCTGGAAATGTAAAGGATTCTGCAAAACAAAGAACTTTGCCAGCAGTTTTAGGGATATACAGTGTAACAAAGCAAATGAGAGCCAGACAAATCCTTCTCACGCTATTCTAGCCTTCCATAATACAGTTTTTTGCTTGTAGTATTACACTACTTATACTTCCCTGTCAACAATTGAGTTGTAATTTGAGACATTCAGTGGGCACCAGGTTGGGGAAAATTATACCAGACTCCTACAGTTTCTATTTAGCATACACTGAATACAGTAAAATTTAGGAATTCTTTATTTCTTTCATACCCTAAGTCAGAAGGCCTTAGAGAGCCTGTTTCAGTTCAGTTTTATGTTACCTATTTTATTTGTCCTAAAGCACCATTGCTTTATATATTGTGCCCCAATTTGAAAATGGAATCTGTTATTTTTAACTCTGCATTCCCAAGAAGTCACAACTCTGATCTTGATCTTCAGATTCAAGCTGAGAAAAAAACACCATGTGCACCTGTTTGTTCCAACAAGACTCTGCCAAATTGTTAGTAAAAGATGCCCCCTTCAGCTGTCATTGGAGAATGTGATTTCAGTTTTTTTTGGGGGGGGGGGGAGAGTTTCTTGTTATTCAATTTACTGTCAGGAAAATATAGAATAAATGCCAGGCAGAAAGAAAACTAAACTAAGCTAAAATTCTTATCCAGGAACAAAGTATTTATGTTGCTGGGTCAGAAATTGACTTATGACCTTAAATGCAGGATAACAGAATTTGGCCATTGCTAAGGATGTAGAATTCTATTGATGAGGCAGCAGCAGCTGAATATAAAAGCAATCTGTGCACCCTAGAATGTCAATTAAAAAGTTTCAATAATTTGTACTCTTTATAAAAGAGGCAATATAATAAAATATGACTAGGATTAAACTGCATTTGTGGATATATTGTCATCTTCTCTGTCATTGCTCTGCTCTCTGTAACAGCACCCCCTCCCCTTAAGAAATATATATAGCACCCTCTTAAGATCTTATTCTGTTCCCAGGCGTGGGGTTGGTGTATCTATGGAATCCTTGTCATGTTTTTTTTTAATTGCTTTTTAGACCAGGTGGTCACATTTTGTCTTATGGTTTTTGCTGTTTTAATTGTATATTTGTCTATTATAGGCTACCCAGAATCTTCTGGAATATGTGGCCATAATATATTTAATAAATAAATAAAACCTGTAATAAGTACAACATAATCACTTGTTACAAGGTAGCCTTTCCTTCGAGGACAGCAAGAGGCAAGGTATCAATAGCAAGCCACAGTGAGTTATGATAAACTAAGTATAGGAGAAAAATGTTATCTTGTTATCAAGACATCAAGGAATATCTTATTTCCTTTTACATATGAGAAACATTCCAACTTAATGTAAAGACATTTTGGATGCACCAAATCTGAATGGTAGCATTAACTATTTTAAGAGAAATGCAAAGTTACTAAAATTCTTTATATGTGATGGTAAAAAAAAATATTTATACATTTCTTTTTCTTTATTATTTTCTTTGTTCCTTTTCTCTTTTTCTTTTCTGCAGCTTCTATTTTTCTTTTTATTATTTTCTTTTTTACTTTGTATTTTTGCTGTTGTAATTGCAATTTCCAATAAAATTACTAGAAATCTTGGGACAGGTAACAGGTCATATTGATTTGGGATAAATAAGAGTCTTTTCTGCCTTGGCTCCTGCCCTCTGGAATATCTCTCCCCCCCCCCAGGTGAGAAGCACACCTACCCTTTTGGCCTTCCAAAAAAGCCTGAAGACATGGCTCTGCCAACTGGCCAATGGGAACATTTCATTCTGGAAGTGGTTATTGGACTAAGTTAGGACATCAGAGCTCCCTGTGTGCTTCTTGCCCCCTTTCTTCCCATCTTTGTTAATTTTTATATCAATTTTAATGTTCTATTTATTGTTTTAATGATTCATATTACTTTAATTGATTACAGCCTGCCTAAAGTCATGTCTAGGAGAGATGGGCAGCATATAAGTTTAATAAATAAATGTTCCGTGTCTGATTATTAGCCACAGGTAGTCTTTGACTTACAACCACAATTGCACCAGAATTTTAGTGACTAGGCAATGCAGTCATTAAGTGAATCATCATATGGCCAGATTTGATAACCATTTTACCATAATTGTTAAGGAAATCACCACACTCATTAAGTGAATCATATGATTATTAAGTGAACCATGCATCACTAAGTGATTCTGGCTTCCTCAATTGACTTTGCTTGTTGGAACCTGTCTGGGAAGCTCATAAAATGTGATCATGTGTCCTTAAGACAGTGGTTCTCAACCTGTGGGTCGGGACCCCATTTGGGGTCGAACGACCATTTCACGGGGGTCGCCAAACAACGCAGTCCGCCATTTTTCCCCCCTTTTCCTTAGCTGTGCTACTCCCTTTTATTCTATTGGCTTTTGAAAGCCAATAGAATAGACTCTCTTGAATAGAGTCTAATTCTATTGGCTTTCCAAAGCCAATAGGAATGGTCCAGGCTTTCTCTGCCCTGCTGAGCCCGCCAAAAGTCCCATTCTGCAAACGTTGCTGCACCAGTTGAGTAGTCCTCGACTTACGACCAGTTGAGTAGTCCTCGACTTACGGTCGGTTGGTGGTCGTGGCATTAAAAAGGTTGAGAACCACTGCCTTAGGACATTGCAACTGTCGGAAATACAAGACCATTGCCAAGCACCTGAATTGTGATCACATGACCAAGGAGATGGTGTGATGGTCATAACTTCAAGAATGGGTTGCAATTCATTTTTTCTGAAGCTATTGCAACCTTGAACCATTATTAAATGAATGGTCATTAGAAGAGGGTTACTTATATTACATTAAATTATATAAGTAGAAATAATACTCAAATTGTAAAGTAGGAGGGCTGTCCTCTGCTACTTGGTAATTTGTAGCTAAATTATAATTTCTTAGTTAATTTTGAAAATTAACAAGAGTTATTTCTGCCAAAAAATAAAATTCCAAAGTAACTACTTTTGTTCTGTTGGCTGCCTTAAATTGAGGATCATACACCTTCTAATTTAAGAAACTTTTTTTCCCCTTAGTCATTGGGCCTACCCATCACAGATGAGCAAATAAAGGAAATGGAAGCAAATCTGGACAACATAGACTTCAGAATGGCAGCAGAGGAAGAAAAACGATTGCGTCATGATGTAATGGCTCATGTACATACATTTGCCCATTATTGTCCAAAAGCTGCAGGAATCATTCACCTTGGAGCAACTTCTTGTTATGTGGGAGATAATACGGTAAAATAACACCCCCAAATAAATTTATGTATTGAATCAATCTGTTTATTGATGGTCCAGAAGTTCCTTGAGACTTGGTTATGATACCAGGCCTGGGGGTCCCAAGGAACCAGAGTCTTGTTTAGATGGCTTCACTATAGAGGAGGATGTACTTACTCACGCCTTCTGCTTGGGGTTGTATTTATTTTAGTTTCAATTCTCAATTTTTAATGTTAATTTTTATTTTTAACTACCTGTTTTTAAATATGTATTGCTTTCTATTGAGTATAGTATGCCACCAGAGTTACCTCTCCTGAGATGGGCAGCTATATAAATTTGATGTATTATGTTAATACATATATCCAATATGCTTCATGGCATCTAATGCTAAAAGATGCTAAAATATTAATATTTTTATTAGCAAGTATATTTCATACTTGAAAATTTTTACTTATTACATCCCTTTTGAACTATCTGTGTTCAGGTCTGACTGGAACTATCTGAGTTCCAGTTCTGTTGAGATAGTTGAACAGTGTTGAGCAGAGGGAATGGCTTTGAGGGATGGGAAGAAGAGCCACTAACCAGGAAATGGCCAGATAAAAGGAGTCTGATTCTGGGGTAGAAATGTAACTTGAGTAAACATCTCAGATAAGCCCCCTCCCTAATTTTCACAAAGCTAAAGAGAGGGAGGAGGGGAAGCACATTGAGACTTGTAAAACTGTTGTGCATTTTTCCAATGAGAAAATCAGCTTCTTTAGTTCTCTATGTTCTGTTCTTAAACCAATTACTAGTCCAGCATCAGTCCTTTTCCTCCTGGTTGCTGAGTTTGTTTAAGGCCTTTGAGGAGGGATTTTGGCAAAAGCTATTTGAAAGTCCAATATGTTTTGGATTAGCTCTGTCTGCTTCCTTGTTTATATTCTGGAAAAAGTTTGGAATGTTAATGAGACCTGTTCACAGAAATTATGTTGGCTGCTTTTCAGAAGACTCATTTTTAAAGAAGCTTGATTACTTTCTTTGTTCTCTCTATCATTTATCACTACTTGAGTTACGCTGGCTATTTTCCAGCTATTAGACACAAATTCCAACTAAACATAAATTGCCTACAGGTAGTTCTGGGGTTGTGACAGTTGCGACTGGAACTTCCATTGCTAAGTAGGGTGGGGTGAAGTGAGTTGCATCCTATTTTATGTCCTCTTTTGCTGCAGTCATTAAACAAATCACAGTAATTGTTAACTGAATCTATCTTCCCCCATTGACTTTGCTTGTTGAAAGCCAGCTAGAAAAATCTCACATGGAGCTCACATAACCTGAGGATGCTACAACCATCACAAATGCATGCTAGTGGTCCTATGACTGGATTTTGATCATGTGACCATGGGGATGCTGGGATGGTTGTAAGTTTAAGGACCAGTTGTAAGTCATTTTTTTTCAGCACCATTGTAACTTTGAACGTCTCTAAATTAATGATCTTAAATTGAGGATTACCTGTGCTTTTGTTAGATGACTTTACATATCTTCAGGCAGATGTTACTTAGCCCAGAATGTTCATTTTTTTGCTAGCTTGTCAATTCTTTCGCCTTTATTTGTCTCAGTTCATCTGCTCCTATTCCTGAAGAATCCAGCTCAGATATAGGCATCTGTCTACGTCCTCAGAAATGAAATGATTAAGTTCTTTGGAGTTCCCATTTTCTCTATTTAGCACAATTTTATCCCTGTTTAAAAAAATCCCATTAAATCTAATTTAGCTTTAGTCATTTGGCAGTTTGTTAAGTACTTATACTGCAATCTAATTCATACTAGACCTATCAATATTTATCAGAGCATTTAAGTTCATTGAAATTTTACATTTTGTAAAGATATTTATTGTTATGGTAATTATACAGTTGCAACTCACACTGAAAAGTAAATTTCAGCCATCACATTGAACACAGTTGTATCTGATTTTCTAATTTTTTTCTTTCTATTAGGACTTGATAGTACTTCGAGATGGATTCAACCTGCTTCTTCCCAAGGTAACATGCATTTTTTCATAAGGTGCTATAGATTGACTAATGGCTGTTTGCTGAAGTTAACTCTACAAATAGGAATAGAAACAGATTCTAAGGGAATGGCAAAACATTCAGGAGAAAAGAGAAGATTCAGGGCATTTCTTGATTTTCTGCAAAGTACATATGGGGAATAGAACCCTACTTTCTGACTTGGGCCTTTACTAATTAGTACTAATAATTGGTTAAATATTTTATGTTCTTCTCTTATTTGTTACACCTTTTTCCTCCTGGGTTTAATGCATTTGATACCAATTGGGACCCCTGCAGATTTGTGTTCTGCCTCATGGACTTGTAGGAGAAAATATAAATAGTTGAAGTTGTGAGCCAATAAATTCATCCTGAAGGCACACTAATTCTAAGGAGTTATTCAAGCCACTCTAGGCATCCAAAACCACAATATTACACCAGATGCAAGAAGGATCATTATTATTTTATTTGTTAATTTATTTGCCGCCTCTCACCTGGGGCTACTCTAGGCGGCTTACAACAATAAAAAGAAAGCAATGAAAAAAGTGTGAGCGGAACAGAAGATAATAGAGTAATAAAATAAACAATGAAAAAGAACACAAGAAATATAACTATGCGATTACCAAAAAAAAAAGATGGATGAGTAGAGAGCAGAGAATTGGGGGGGGGGGGGGTTTGGAGTCCTCCTTCAGTCTAGCAACTGCCTCCAGCATAACCATTTGGATCCCAGGCCAATGGTCAGAGCCAGGTTTTTAGCTCTTGTGGAAGAATTGGGGGGGAAGATCTTATCTTAGAGGGTAAGATTTATAAGAGGGTTTGATCCATGCTGGCATTGAGATTTCCAAGAAAACAAATGACACTTGAAATTCCAAGCAGTGAGATAAAAATCAGTTTAAATCAATGTTTCTTTGTTGTTGTTGTTGTTAATTGCGAAGTCGTGTCCGACCCATCGCGACCCCATGAACAACGTTCCTCCAGGTCTTCCTGTCCTCTACCATCTTCTGGAGTCCATTTAAGTTCACACCTACTGCTTCAGTGACTCCATCCAGCCATCTCATTCTCTGTCGTACCCTTCTTCTATTGCCCTCAATCTTTCCCAGCATTAGGCCCTTCTCCAGTGAGTCCTTCCTTCTCATTAGGTGGCCAAAGTATTTGAGTTTCAACTTCAGGATCTGGCCTTCTAAAGAGCAGTCAGGGTTGATCTCTTCTAGGACTGACCGGTTTGAACGCCTTGCAGTCCAAGGGACTCGCAGGAGTCTTCTCCAGCACCATAGTTCAAAGGCCTCAATTCTTTGGCGCTCAGCCTTTCTTATGGTCCAACTTTCACAGCCATACATTGCAACTGGGAAAACCATGGCCTGGACTATACGCACTTTTGTTGGCAGGGTGATGTCTCTGCTTTTTAGTATGCTGTCTAGATTTGCCATAGCTTTCCTCCCCAGGAGCAAGCGTCTTTTAATTTCTTGGCTGCAGTCCCCATCTGAGGTGATCTTGGAGCCCAGAAAAATAAAATCTGTCACTACCTCCATTTCTTCCCCATCTATTTGCCAGGAATTGAGAGGGCCGGATGCCATGATTTTGGTTTTCTTAATGTTGAGTTTCAAGCCAACTTTTGCACTCTCCTTCTTCACCCGCATCAAGAGGCTCTTTAGTTCCTCTTCACTTTCTGCCATTAGAGTGGTATCATCTGCATATCTTAGGTTGTTGATATTTCTCCCGGCAATCTTAATTCCAACTTTTGATTCATCTAGCCCTGCCTTTCTCATGATGTGCTCTGCATATAAGTTAAATAGGCAGGGCGACAGTATACAGCCTTGCCGGACTCCTTTTCCAATTTTGAACCAATCAGTGGTTCCGTGTTCGGTTCTCACTGTTGCTTCTTGGCCCGCATATAAGTTTCTCAAGAGACAAATGAGATGGTCTGGTACCATCTCTTTAAGAACTTGCCACAATTCGTTGTGATCTACACAATCAAAGGCTTTTGCATAGTCAATGAAGCAGAAGTAGATGTTTTTCTGGAACTCCCTAGCTTTCTCCATGATCCAGCGTATGTTGGCAATTTGATCTCTAGTTCCTCTGCCTCTTCGAAATCCTCCCTGTACTTCTGGTAGTTCTCGATCTACATACTGCTGGAGTCTAGCTTGTAGGATTTTAAGCATAACTTTACTAGCATGTGAAATGAGTGCAGTGGTGCGATAGTTTGAACATTCTTTGCATTGCCTTTCTTTGGAATTGGAATATAAACTGACCTTTTCCAATCCTGTGGCCACTGTTGAGTTTTCCAAATTTGCTGGCAAATTGAGTGTAGCACTTTTACTGCATCGTCTTTTAAGATTTTGAATAGCTCAGCTGGAATACTGTCACCTCCACTAGCTTTGTTGTTGCTCAGATTTTCTAAGGCCCATTTCACTTCACATTCTAGGATGTCTGGTTCGAGGTCAGTGACCATCTCATTGTGGTTATCTGGGATGTTAAGCTCATTCTTGTATAGTTCTTCTGTGTAGTTTTGCCATCTCTTCTTAATCTCTTCTGCCTCTGTTAGGTCTCTGCCATTTTGGTCCTTTATCATGCCCATCTTTGCATGAAACGTTCCCTTCATATCTCCAATTTTCTTGAAGAGATCTCTGGTCCTCCCTATTCTGTTGTTTTCTTCTATTTCTTTGCACTGTTCATTTAAGAAGGCATTCTTATCTCTTCTAGCTACTCTCTGGAATTCTGCATTCAATTGGGTGTATCTTTCTCTTTCTCCCTTGCCTTTCACTTCCCTTCTTTCCTCAGCTATTTGCAAAGCTTCCTCAGACAGCCATTTTGCTTTCTTGCATTTCTTTTTCTTTGGGATGGTTTTAGTTGCTACCTCTTGTACAATGTTGCGAACTTCCATCCATAGTTCTTCAGGCACTCTGTCTATCAGATCTAATTCTTTAAATCTATTTGTCACCTCTACTGTATATTCATCAGGAATATGATTTAGTTCATACCTGAGTGGCCTAGTGCTAGAAACAAATGGTTGTTTCTAGCAACCATTTAAACTTCTGATAAATGTCCTAGTAGTCATCCCTGTCCAAGGTCAGCCAATATTCATTATAATTTTGATTCTGTAGGATGATTTTTCTCTCAAGAGGTCTGACTTGCAGCTGGGAACTCTCAAACATTTAGTCTTCCACTCAGCCTCTACTTTCTGACCTGAGTCCTTGATCAAAACAGTTTTATTCCCATGCTCTGACATCTCTTCTTCCAAGCAAAAACTTTGTTGAACATGACAATGTTGAACTATTCTTTTCATTTCCAGCCAGCGTGGAAGGCTTAAATTTGGGGAGAAACTATTGTGCAAAATTATTTAAATGGTTTTTCCTCGTTGTCTATATACATAGTGAAGATGAACCATGTAGGCTGCCTTAAATGAGATGACGATGATATTGCTTCCCTTATTTTCATGTATCTTATTCTTCTTCACTTTCATTATAGCTTGCCACAATAATCAATCGTCTGGCAGATTTTGCTAAAAAGTATTCCAACTTGCCCACCTTGGGCTTCACTCACTACCAGTAAGTAATTATTTAGATTTTTATTACTTAATAATATGACTGCTACTTTTTCCGTTTCATCTATTTTATGCATCAGTGGCTTTCAACTTCTATGGGGCATGATTAAGGACAGTAAAGTTTATGAGTACATCCCTAATTTATTGAATTCCAATAAGTGCAGGGGCTTTCAACGTAAAGATTTTATCTGTTTGCAAAAATGCTATAAATCATATTTAGTCTCATTAAAATATTTGTAACAAGAATATAACATGTGAACACAATAAAATCAGCCATGCTTTTATTTCCTTCACTAAAATCCAGTTCAGTAATCTGTTATGAATTGCCATGTTTTCCATAACATAGTCTTTTGCTGCACATGTTCTATAATTCTTTAATTTTTCCAATATGTTTAAATCAGTGGCATATAAAATATGCTACTGTTTAATTAGCAATCATGTAAAATATTCAATATCCCTTCCCTAAGCCTTCAAATCTAGAGGTTCTTATTTAATTTAAAAAATAGCTATTATTAAGTTTAAAAAGTCATGGTTTGTTTTTACCAGATCCTATAACTAAGATGGAACTGCTCTAGGACAGGGCTTTTCAACCAGTGGTACGGGTACCACCTGTGGTACATTGGCAACTGGCAGGTGGTACGCGACCATCCTAGAAAAGTGGTAGCGGGGGAGGGGAATGAGCTGAACCGGTGGCAGCACTGCACAAGCCTGAGTGAGAGATGGCTGGAGCTGCAGGGCTGTCAGGGCTCAGCAGAAGTGCCAGGATCAGTGCCGCTTTCCAGCTGATTGGTGCTTCTTCAGGACTGTCAGGGCTTAGTGGAAGCACCAGGATCAGCGCCAGGCTTCAGCTGGAGCTCGGCGCTGATCCTGGCACTTCTGCTAGCCCTGAAGAAGCACCAATCAGCTGGAATGTTGCCTTATCTCCAGGGTCTTGTGATTTACATTCAGACGCGTGGCAACTGATTCATATTTATGACAGTCATAGTGTCCCAGGGTCATGTGAAGTGACCAAAACCTGCTGCAACCACCCATCAGATGGGGGGAATAAAAACCACACACCCCACCCCTGCTGCCAATCCTCAACAGAAATGCTCACAGCAATGGAAACTTTGGACAGGAGGAATAGCGCCACCAGGTGGGCAGGCAGGTGTCTTGCTCTGCTGTGGCTTGGGGGGCACTTTTTTCAGTGCCATTGTAACTTCAAATAGTCACTAAGCGAACTGTTGTAAGTCGAGGACTACCCGTACTTCATCACTTTTTTCCTTTTTTTTGGTCATCAAGTTTTTGACACCTTGCTAGGCTACTGGTGGTACTTGGATATTGCTGTATCCTAAAAGTGGTACAATGGGTGAAAAAGTTGAAAAGCCCTGCTCTAGGAAAAGCAAGTATAGTCATTTTGTAATAACATTAACTTTTATGCACTTGTCCTTAAATAATAGTCTTTGTGATGTTTTAGGCCTGCCCAGCTAACCACTGTAGGTAAACGTTGTTGCTTATGGATTCAAGATCTCTGCACAGACCTTCACAATCTTGAAAGAGCACGAGATGAATTAAGATTCCGTGGGGTGAAAGGCACAACTGGCACCCAGGCCAGCTTCTTGCAGCTTTTTGAAGGGGATCATAGTAAAGTAAGTAAGGATGCACTGGCCTTTCACTTAAATGTGTTCTAGTTAAGTATTTATTTGTTAAGAATTTTATACTGCTTTATAAACATTGATAAAGGCAATATATAAACCCACTTACAAGCATGGAAGAAAACATTGAAAAACAATGTCAGAAGCAGCAAAATGCATATCAAAATTAGCAAAAAAAAAAAAAGATAATGTATTACCAGAGGAGCACCCAGCCATGGGGCTGGTTAGGCCTCTAACCCACGTTTTAATCTTTTTCATGTTGAATTTTAAATATTTTTGCCTCTTACATGATTTTTACATACCGTTTTTATGTTTTTAATAATTTGTACACCTTCCAGAATCTCTATAAGGGAGATGAGCAGTTTCTAAATTTGATAAATAAAAAGTAAATAAATAAAATCTGCAGATTCATTCTGGCCACATCCCAGAACTTTATGCTAGGACAGGGATGGCGAAACTTTTAGAGACCGAGTGAACAAATTGCGATCCAAAACCCCCTTATGCATCATCGGGTGCTGGGTGGGTGTGGCCCACTGGGTGGGTGTGGCCCACTGGGTGGGCGTGGCTGCGATGGTAACAGCAGACTGGGTGGGACTAAAAAGTTCAATCAATCAATTCCAACTTTGCAAGATCTTTTTTTTCCCTGCGAGAGGTTGAAATTGACTGATTGATTGAACCGGGTTTTTTTGTACACGGCGGCGGAGGCCTAAAATGAAAAGGTTTTATAAAACCCAGTTGAATTCATAGGACTGGGGCGACTGGCACCCGTGCCATAGGTTTGCCACCACTGTGCTAGGATAACTTTTTCTGGGCCTGGACATGCTATGGTGAAACAGAAGTGCAGGCAGTAAAGGAGTTGCCTACAAGCAGTGCATTTTTTGTAAAAAAAAAAAAAAAAAAAAGTGCCGGAACTCACACATGTTATACAACCTGCCTTGCCTACCCTACAAGGTTCCATTCAAAAAAGGTGCTGGAACTCCGTTCTGGGCGTTCTATGAGAAAAAAAGCCCTGCCTACAAGCTAGCACAGGTAGTCCCCCACCTTAATTGAGCCCAAAATTTCTTTTGCTAAGTAAGACCTTTGTTAAGTAAATCACTGCAGTTGTTAAGGTTAGTAACAGGGTTGTTAAGTGAATCTGGTTTCCCCATTGATTTTGCTTGTCAGAAGGTCGCAAAGGAAACCACATGACTCTGGGACATGAAGCAATGGTCAAAAATATGAATCAGTTGACAAGCAGCTGCAACAGTTGTAAATGCAAAAATCTGTCATAAGTCACTTTTTTCATCACTGTTGTAGTTTTCAATGGTCATTAAACGAACTGTTGTAAGTCAAGGACTACCTGTACTTTCATCCATAAAATATGCTGAATTTAGAATGGTGTTAAAAGGGAAACTGTCTGGGTAGCATAAACACGATCTTCTTTTCAGTCACTGTATTCTGAGGTTCCTGTCTCTTTTTTTCCCTAAGGTGGAGGAGCTGGACAGACTTGTGACTGCAATGGCGGGATTTAAGCGGTATATTAAAAAAAACAAAACATCTCCCTTTAATACTAAGGATATGCTTAAACATAACCTTCTAAGGAGTATAGGAGACTTTCTTAACTGGAAACAGAGCAGTGCATTGCCTACACAGATTGCTGGAGGCTTTTTGAAATTTCAGAAAAGATTTCTCCTCTTTAGAAATACTAAGACCTGAATCTGGGATTTTTCATATATATATTCTATTACTTAGCCAGGACCTTTTGCTTTCTAAAAATTAGCAACCGTGCAATATTATCATGTTGTACAGCTAATAATTCCTACTAATGTTAGGCCTTGTTTTGAAGTATACCTATAAATAGTTGTTACAGCATTCTAATTTTATGTTTAGCTGCTGCCTATTGCATGCAAATTTGAGTTGTACAACCACACATTTTTTCTATGTCATTTCATGCTTATTCAAGGCTAATACAATTTAAGAATCAACTAACCGATGAATCTGGTATGATAATTCATGCATTTTTGCATGTTCAATCCTCCATAGGCATAGGTCTCTTTGAACTTCATATTATTTTATATTTGATTTTAGGGCTTATATCATCACAGGACAGACATATAGTCGCAAAGTAGATATTGAAGTTCTCTCTGTTCTAGCAAGTCTTGGGGCAACTGTACATAAGGTAAGAACTGGTTTACATGTACAAGTATTGTAGATAGAAGCTCTAACATATGGATAGCAAATGAGCAGCTTTGTGATTTTGCTGCATTACAACTCATAGCAGCACCAGCCATGGTGATCGGTAATGAAAGACATTGGAACAAATAATGGATTAAGTAGCTCCATTTAACTGAACTTTGGTAGCATGATTTTGTTCCCTTCTTTACAACCTCTAGAAAAGTTCATTGAGCCTTGGAGATGCACCAATTTTAGTGGACCTCCCCATCCTCCCCAAACTTGAACTAATCTTTGTAGTATTACCACATTGCAGATATCTCTGTGTATTTCATTTGCTATGGCCCCTGAAGATGATAAAGAACAACCTCTGAGCTTTAAATATAAGTCCAATAAATAAATAAATAAGATACAGTTTAAGATCATTTGCCTGACTCTTGCCTCTAAAATGTAAATGTCCATCAGTGGAAATGGCACTCCTTTTAAGATTACTATTATTGTGCTAATTCCATTAGAGATTTTACTTACATGTGAATTTATATTAATTATTATTTTCTAGATATGTACTGATATTCGCCTTCTGGCCAATCTCAAAGAAATAGAGGAACCTTTTGAGAAAGAACAAATTGGTAAGCACTGAGTAAAAATAAGATTTCATTCTACTTACTTTATTTAACTTGCTCAACACTTTTTAAATTAGTCTATCTATAACATCTTTATTTAACATAATCAAAGGTTTAAAATAAATTATTACAGTACTTAGCAAGTGTTAGAAATGATTTCCTGACAATTTAATTTTATAATTTTTATGTAAAAATATTGCAGAGAAAAATACAAAATCAAATATGATTTCTACTGAAATTTAATGGAATTTACATTGCCATTTAATACATATCTAAAGTTACTGCTTTATTGGCAAGTTGTCGAAGGAAAAATTATATCTCCCCTGAAAATCTGAAGCTTATTGATTTATAGCTTTGAAGCCATAAATATGCACCTTTAAAGAATGTTCCTTTCATTCTTTGAACACAATGATTCCTTACATCCTTTCCTGAGAAAAAAACAAACTTTGTTCCATATTTGCACTGCAATTAACTGAGGCTTTTGGTTTTTACAGCATTTTACATTTTCGCTGTTCTGTCTCATGATGAGCAATTATTTAAAAATGTTTTAAAGGTTCAAGTGCCATGGCTTATAAACGGAATCCTATGCGTTCAGAACGTTGTTGCAGTCTAGCTCGCCATCTTATGATTCTTGTCCTGGATCCCCTTCAGACAGCCTCTGTGCAATGGTTTGAGCGCACATTGGATGACAGTGCAAACAGGTACATACTTATATGATGTAGAGATGCTCTTGATGTATTTGGAAGTTATAGGATGAAATTAATTACAAGAAAAATATGATTGACTGTAACATGCTCTATGCCATCCAGGCCTGAAGGTAAGCTTCAAACTTTCCGTGAAACATCCTTCCAAATGGATTACTTTTTCTATAGCCCTTACTTATTAATATATTATAGTAATTAATATAGCAATAGCATTTAGCATTTACCACCCCATAGCACTTTATAGCACCTTCTGAGCGGTTTACAAGTGGAAGCATTATTTGTATACAGTATTGTTCCCAACAATCTGGGGCCTCATTTTCCTGACCACCGAAGAATGGAAGGCTGAGTCAACCTTGAGCCCAGCCAGATTCAAATTTCAGGCTATGGCTAAAGTTTGCCCGCAATATCACAGTTTAACCACTGCACAACCAGGTCTCCTACAATATGCAGGGAGTAGGGCAAAACAATACAGATCCTTGACTTACAACCACAATTAGTATTGGAATTTTGGTTGTAAGTCAAGGCACCCACATGACCAGGACCAATTTTATGACCATTTTTATAGTGGTCATGAAACAAATAAATCAGGCAGTCGTATGTCCAAATCACATAAGTGTTAAGCAAATAATAGATTCATGAATGCAAACTCATTCTCCTGAATGGCTGTTTTTTTGCCAGAAATCAGCAAAAACATCACAAATCTCAGTCATGTGATCTCAGGATGCTACAACCAGTTGTAAATGTGAGCCAATTGCCCAAAATAAGTCATGTGACTGCAGAGGAAGGAGACGGTACAACATTTTATGACAATCAGAAGTACTTACAGAAGGGCCATAAAGTACCTTTTATATTTTACTCATTAGCTCACTATTGAAGCCCTGATTCTGAAAGACTAACATGGGTAAAATATTCTTAACATCTCTGCACCCTGAGGAATACATGAATAACAATCACATTACAGGTAGTCCCCGAGTTACGAGTGTAATGGAGCCTGCCCATTCCACTCATAAATCGAAAACTCGTAGAATGAATCTTGTTCCTTTAACGAGATTACTTTTTTCCTCGTTAAAATGCATGTGGGTCATTAAGTAAACATGAGGTAACTCAGGGTGGGGAAGGCCATGGGGGACCTAATGATGGAACAGGCCCCCAAGGCATCCCCGACCCACTAAGAAAACTCATGCTTCCCCCTCCCTTTCTGCCGCTCCGGAGTCCCTTACCTTGCAAAATCTGTCTACTCTCTGCCACAGTTTCCTCTGAGGGAGAGGAGAAAAGCTTGCAAATGATTTTCGTACTGACATTGGAAGCTCCTGGGTGCTGTAATATCGCGCAAGTTCAAACACCCATTCTTTGCAAAAGAGATCATGGCCCTGGAAGCTTCCATTCTCAGAAGTGTTTGCTTCATTTGCACGCCTGTGGAGCAAAGCGTGGAATCAGAGTTGGCCAGGCGCAAGAACCAATGCCGTCAGTGGCCCGGCTGAGCCGTTCGCTTGCGTGCGCCGGACTTAGTTTGAGGGCAGGAACAAAGCCTTCAAATGAGTGGGGAGGCATTGCCGGGCCAGATCCCTTGCACCTGCATCCAAGACGGCAGCGGCGGCAACCACCTGAGCGGCCATGATCCGTCTCCCAGCCAGGCAGCTAGCCACTCACCCCTCCTGACCTAGTTTTTGCTTGGCCAGCCGGCAGGCACAAATCCTCACTGCTCTTCTCCTCCTCACTCAAACGGCGGCAGGAGCTTGGGTTTCTCAGTTCCATCTGAGTGGAGGAAAGCGGAGGTGCAGCAGCAAGATTTCTCTCATTGTGTGCTGCTTGCTTGCGTATGCCGGCCTTATTGAGAGCAATCCTGCTGCTGTGCCTCCACTTTCCTCCACTCAGATAGAAGGGAGACCTTGGGGAAACAGGATTCTCCCTCTGAGCAAATGGGGCAGTTCAGAACGAAGCAAATTCACTGCATTTTCAAGCATTACATTCACACTCAGATGGAGCTCCTCTGATTAAAGGTGTTTGGGTGCCTCTGGGAGCCTTGAAAATGCAGCGAATCACTACATTTTCAGGCATTACATTCACACTCAGATGGAGCGCCTCAACTCCCAAAGATCTCTGTTCAGATAAGAGGTGTTTGAGCGGCAGCAGATTGAGTTTCTCCATCCAAGCAGAAGCGCAGAGCGGGATTGCTCTCAATGAGGCCAGCGCATGCAAGCAAGCAGCGCACCCACAAATTCTTTAGAGCAATCCTGGTCTATGCCTCCGTTTTCTTCCTTTAGGACAGAGCGGAGAAACTCAAGCCGCTGCCGCTCAAATCTCAATCTCTCTCAGGTCTGGGTTTGGATAAAAAGCGTTTGAGGAGCAGCGACTTGAATTTCTCCGCCCCATCCCAAAGGAAGAAAACAGAGGCACAGACCAGGATTGCTGTGCGCCTCTGCTTATTTTCACTTGGACAGAGAAACTCAAGCTGCTGCCGCTCAAACACCTCTTATCCCAGTGGTTCTCAACCTGTGGGTCGGGACCCCATTTGGGGTCGAACGACCATTTCACGGGGGTCGCCAAACAACGCAGTCCGCCATTTTTTCCCCCTTTTCCTTAGCTGTGCTACTCCCTTTTATTCTATTGGCTTTTGAAAGCCAATAGAATAGACTCTCTTGAATAGAGTCTAATTCTATTGGCTTTCAAAAGCCAATAGGAATTGTCCAGGCTGTCTCTGCCCTGCTGAGCCCGCCAAAAGTCCCATTCTGCAAATGGTGCTGCACCAGTTGAGTAGTCCTCGACTTACGACCGGTTGAGTAGTCCTCGACTTACGACCGGTTGAGTAGTCCTCGACTTACGACCGGTTGGGGGTCGCAGCATTAAAAAGGTTGAGAACCACTGTCTTATCCGAACAGACATCTTTGGGAGATGAGGAGCTCCATCGGGGATTACCTGTAACATACACTGAGCTGTTGCTTTGTTTAATCTTTGTACTGTTTTTTTCTACAGGCGTGTATGTTTACCTGAGGCTTTCCTTACTGCTGATATTATACTCAGTACTCTGCAAAATATCTCTGAAGGACTTGTAGTATACCCTAAGGTAAGAAGTAAAAGCAGAGGGAAAGTGAACACTCAACTTTTTCACTAAATGAAATATAGGTATGTGTATAATTTAATCCTCCATGCCAGATGCCATTTGTGGTGTTAGTTATAATCCAGCTACAAAACAGGCCTATCCATCACGAACCATTTCTCTTTGGGAAGACTGACTTCCAGAAGACCCTAGAATACTCCTGAAATAGCAAGATCAGTACGCTCCAGAGGAAGAACTGATATGGAAAGAATTTCCTAAAATAAAGTTGTACACCATCATCCCATTTACAGCATTGGGCTATAAGAGATCTTTAAAAACAATGCTACCAAATTCTTTTATTATTTATTTGACAACCTTAATTAGTATTGCAGCAATTGTATTGCGTGGTAAGACTATGAGTAATATTTGGCAGATTCGAGATAGGCTTCCTCACCAAATCATCCAAACAATGACATTTACTAAATTGTTTTTTTATTTAAATGTGTAAAATAATAAATACAAGTATATGATTTCAGGTATTTTAAAAGGTCATAGAATTCAGTTGAAATGAAATGACACTGTGCCTCCCAGAGACAAAAATAACAACTGAAGCAGTTTTTGAGTTATTAATTTCTATATTTATCATGTACATTTCAAATAGAGGGAAAGCTGGCTTGTTGCATAGAAACAACCTGTTATTTTTTGCTTGAAGTAACTATCTGCATCTATTCTGTGGTTAATTTTCTAAGCTTGTATTGAGGAACATGTCATCTAGAAATATAATCATTATCTAAGATTCTGCAGTTGAGTGGCATGGTGGCCTAGATGTGAAGGCGTTCACCTCCCACTCGGAAAGTTGAGAATTCAATCCTAGGCAATGGCAGATTTTTCTCTATCAGCGCACAAAGAGAAAATATCTGTTGTGAACTCCGCGTAGGTGTCAGGAAGGGCATCTGGCCAGTAAATACTCAGCTCCACTCAGTCGCGCTGACTCCACCCCAAAACAAAGGGATTAAAGGGTCATAAAAAGGGAAAAAAAGTTCTAAGATTCTGCAGTTTCCTTCCTACCCACTGAGATCCTCTGCATAAAAAAAAGAATGTGTTTTATCATAGGGCCATGTTCCATCTGCTGAATAAATAAATAATTAAGAATAAGAGACCATATTAACAATCCAGTATATAAAGATTTATATCATAATTTTTTAGGTAATTGCAAGGCATATAGAACAAGAGTTGCCTTTCATGTCCACAGAAAATATCATCATGGCTATGGTGAAAGCTGGGGGAAATCGCCAGGTGAGTAAATTACACGTGCTTAGTTATCAGCTCCTAAGAAATAGACATGCAAGAAACAGAAGTTATAAAAAGTTTATGGAAATCAGCTCTTAAATTACTATACTTGGTTCCACTTATTTGATACCAGTAGATCAAATTATTCTTCAGCCTTGTTAATATAAATTACTACACTATTTCTTCATTTTTCTTCTCTATCAGTTCAAAACATCTATGTGTATTGCACATAGCAAAAGATAAACTATCCTAAAAATACTTATTTTTTTCAGAATTTGGTTGATAGGTAAGTTCATTTTGTAATCCCTAAAGATAGATAGCAGTCTGATGGCAGGAGCACATAATTCTGATTTTCAATCTCCATTTGGAATGAACGTTGAGCTGCAGAATTATTTTGTTTCTTCCCTATCCTGTTTTTTTGTAAACATTTGCCTACTGATATGGTCTGGAAAAAACCTTGCACACTGTACGTTTTTGACTGGTTTTTAACTTAAGTTCTTCTAAAAAACAATAAAGAGTTTTAGAAGTATCTTTACTGTCTCATTGCAGATTGTAAATTAAAAAGAAAAATATATTAAATCTGATAACCATTTGGGATATCACTGAGGAGAGAATATTGCAATAGCCTTCTCATACTGCTCAAATCCTGTTTGTAAGATGGGCTATCTAGGATGAGCTTCCTAAATGCTGTATTGATAATGGGATGTAATATTTTCCTAGCTTAGGAGTAACACTTTGTCTATTTTTTACCTTTTAGGAATGTCATGAGAAGATAAGGGTTCTGTCCCAGCAGGCAGCTGCTGTTGTGAAGCAAGAAGGAGGTGATAATGACCTCATTGCACGAATTCGTGCTGATCCTTATTTTAGCCCTATTCATGGGCAATTGGAAACTCTCTTGGAGCCCACATCCTTCACTGGTCGTGCTTCCCAACAGGTAGGGAAAAACAGAAAAAGCTAGTGTCCTTACTAGATTGCTCTTAATTTTAGCTTTCCTAAAGAAAGCTTTTTTTTTATCCACAACTGTTATCTCCCAATTCAGATTTACTCTTATTAAAATTGATATACTAATCTGTTTTTTTAGACTAGCCAAATCTTTTTTAGGCAAATCTCCTTCTCCATTCTCTTAAATTCTTGGATAATCCACTGCTATTTCATTTTATCCTAATGTAATTTGGACTTTTTATTCTAAATTACTTATTCTACCTTGTTATATTGGTTTAATACAGATTGATATACCAAAAACAGCCTATTCTTTCTATATAAAGTCTTATTTAATAACAGTGAGCAAAATTTTTGTTACTTTTTTATTTATATAATTTTATATATTGAAATCATTTCTCAATTTTCAACAAAAATAGCAGTTAAGGTACTAGGAATAAAAAAGAATTAAAGTTGAAAAACTTACTTTCAAAAACAATTAAACTGTAATTCGAACTCATCAGTTAAGTGGAAACAGATACTGGTCCAACCAGTTAAAATCCAAATCAGCAGCCAAACTAATTTATCATAGGAAAACTATCTGAATAAAATTGTCTTTGTCTAATGATAGAAAAACAATACAAGTTAATCTTCCAAATTTTGAAGCAGCTCCAAAGTAGTTGCAATTTGTACTTCCCCAATAGGTCTCCAATGATACTCAAACTCAAGAGAAGGATCTTTTTCAAATATCTTAAATCTTAAGGTATCTTTCAAAAAGCTTGCTTCCAAGTGCTGTTGAAATTTAGTTCTGTAAAGGTTTATTTTATAACCAGGAGTTTAAATTGTATCTGTATAAATAAGCCAGCAGTCAGTGAAACTGCTCTATCAGAGTTGCTCAGCTGTTGTAGGACTGCAAAATTCTGGACTACCTGAACTTCCACGGCTCTTTAAAACATGCTCCTATAGAATATATAAGACAAAGTGAAATGTCAGGGTGGTCACTTCTAGATAGTTTTCCTATGGTGATAAAAACATGGCGAATTGTGAAAGGTTACAATTCATTGTATCTCAAACTAGATTTTGTTTCTTCACAACAGGTGGCAAGATTCTTGAATGAAGAAGTCATACCAGCACTGGTCCCTTATCAGAGCAAAATGGGTGTGAAAATAGAACTGTCTCTTTGAATCAGTATTTTATGGGTGGCTTGTGTAGAAAGAGTAATAAAATACTTTTAAGAATTAAATCAGTTTAACATGAATTATTTGATGGTTCCGTTGTAGGGCTGAAAATTATTATGTTGCAGACTTCTGAAGACATGAAGATGAATTAATGCTCACATTGTAATTATAAACTTTCAGATGTTTACAAACTGGTCAGGCCAAAATAACACAGCTATATTTGCATTTGCAAGTCTCAAACAAAGTAAGAAGCCTGTCAAGTGTTTCTTGATACATAATCTATTCAGTTTGTCAGCCACAAAATGAGAATGGCTGATGTAAACAATAAGACAGTTCCAGCAAGGAAACAGTTAAAATTACAATTCTTGAACTTTGGAAAAGCATAGATTCAACTCTTCAGTTTCTTCTACTTGCTGGTGGAGAAGCTTCTGTCTTTTCTAGAAGGCTGATGGTTGATCTGCACACTTTAGGAAGACTTTGCATCTTCTGTAACAGAACCCTACAAATTTTTGAACGTATCTTCAGAACTGTGTAAAAACTATGGTAGCCTGAAACTTAGCATTTCCACCTCAACTGCCATATAGTTATCTGTGTGCAAATATACACTTCTTTTTAAAATGAGCCTGAATGACTGAATGTATACTTCACCCTTTGTTAAATTTTAGGTGATAAACTCTGTTCAGGAGATTTTTTTAATATAATATTTTATTAATTTTCCAATTTTACATTTAAGTATTTAAAAAGCAACGTGGTGGCTGGGTTAATCAATAGTTTGATAACAAAATCTTTAGTACAAATCTTAAGTTACAACATCTAATATTTCCTCTTTTTCCCTTAACATTTGCTGTCTCATATTTAAGATAATACAGTTCTTATTATATAAACTCAGTAAAAACATCATTATTACATTTATCAATAATTTTTAGCTTATACGTATCTTATTTTTTACATTCAATCTTCATAAATAATCCATATCTTGTTATTAATTTTTCCCAATTTTTAGTTTTCCATCAATATTCCAATTTAACCTTTAATATTTATAATTTTCAGGCTTTAGATAACCAAGATTTCCCTTATCTCAATTCATAACAGAATCTAATATCCAAAATACACATTTTATTTATTTGAATATAATCTTGTTCTATTTCCTAAAAGTTATCTATTTCCCACCATATTAAATCATCTACTTAATAATACAATATCCCCTTTAATAAATCAAAACCTGGGTTAATCAATAAATCAAACATATTCATATTTTTTTCTTTTAGGTCTAATTTTTAAATATTAAACATAAAATCCTTATTTTCAATTAATTCCCAAATATTTTAAATTTAATGACCAGAATTCCCCTTATCTCAACTTCTCCCTTTAACCCTCTAATTAATAATATGAAATTCCCTCTAATAAATCAAAATCCCAATTTTCTTCAGCCTTATTCTGGCTTTCTTCCTTTGCTATTGGCTTCCATATCAGTGATTTTAGATTGTCAAATAGATCTCCCTCTATTATTATATATTATTATATCTCCCTATTATTCCAATTCCCCATGATTGCCCTGATATGTTTTATCTTCCATTCAATCTGTTCTTTTTTCTCAAATTTCTTCTGATTTATATAGAAAGTCTTTTCCATTTTCAGTGTTGTCACTCCCTTTTCTAGATTTTCCATTAACTATATTTGTTGGTCAGTTGAGTCCTCTGTCTTAATATTTGATTGTTCCACTTTTTCTGTTATCTTCTGTGTTGTTAGTTCTTTGGTTGTGGTCAAAGTCTGGGTTTGTGTATCTAAGCTGGCAACTTGATCTTTTATGTTAGGTCTTATTTTATCATAAGAATGGTTTCACGTATTGCTTTCAACATGGAAAGGATCTTTTCCTGGTCTTCATCCATCTCTTTCATGTGTTTATAAATAGTCTTTATAGTAGAAATCGTTTGTCAAGCAAGATTTTATAGTCCAAGATATTTCATCATCTCATATAGTAACCAATATTCTTCAAATAAAGAGATAGGAAGGCAGTTCCCCACATAAAACTCTGAAAATCAGTAAAGGTTTACATTCACAGTTCAAATAGGCCAGTTATGCTGCCCAGTTGTTCTCTTACAGCTGACTTTCTCACAGGTGGTGCCAAGGTCAGAAGAGTCTTATCTAAGGTTTAGGCTTTGAGCCAAGTCTCTTTTAGGAAATAACAAGTTGTAGTACCAAACCTTGCCACAAGATGTCACCGATGCCGTTTAAGGTTTTTTAAGTCCAAAATTTTTATAATCCTTTTCCCAATTTTATTTCTTTGTTGTAGATAAAAGCAAAAGTCTCCAATAAAAATAGGAAAATTTTTGGTCCCCAGGTTTCAGGAACATATAAATCCAATTAGATTAAAGTTGTTATTTTAGTGCTTTAATTCCCCTGGGTAGTCAGTCGCTGCTATTCTTAGAGGGTGGGATAGAAATTCCCCTCTCTTCTCACAGGGGGAAAGATACTTCAGGCAGCTTTTACAGAAAAAGAAAGTACTTAGGGTAAAGAGAAGATCGGATCTCACCCAGTTTCATCTGCACTGCTTTCGAAGTGCTTGGTAGTAAGTTTGACTTTGGTTGTCTGCAACCTAGTGACAGACCATATTACTATGGCCAGTCTTTCCTCGGACGGTTTGGAGGGCTGCCCGGGATCAAATGGAAGGGCTGCTGCCCTCCCGCAATCAAGCAGGGGTCCCCTCCTTGCTCGTCACCCCTACAGGGTGACTTTCAACCCTTTCCAGATTCCCCCAGCGGAGTGAAACCGAATGCGGAAGACGGAGCTCGCCTTCTAGTGGCTGCGGCGGCCGTGATGGCAAACCGGAAAAAGGATATTTGATCTCATGTATCCTGAAAAAAATGAATGTGAAGGATGGTAAATAGTACACTGGAGGTTGTTGACAGGGTGAATAAATGAAGATGAAATCACAAAGCAAATATATAAAGGAAAAGCAAATACAGGAAGAGGAAATCATGGCTAGAGATCTTAAAATAGATTTAAAGAATAAAATGAATTAAATAGTAAATGGATGGAAGCAAAAATGGTTTGCAAGGACAGGCAGGCAAAGGAAAATTGTACTGAATGATGATATCACCTAGTTTTAGCTATGTTATCTATCATCTATCTATCATCTAGTTATTTCCTATTTTTCTGTGCCCTATAATGTTTCTCACCCAGAAAGACATATTGTCTATGTCTGTCCATGTATCAAATGATTCAACAGTGAGGCAGAAGCTTGCTCCAGGTTCTAGAGATGTACAAATAGAATTTCAGAATCGAGCTGGAAGGGACCTTGGAGGTCTTCTGGTCCAGCCCCCTGCTCAAGCTGGAGATCCTATACCATTTCATACAAGTGACTGTCCAGTCTCTTCTTAAAAACTTCCAATGATGAAGCACCCACAACATCTGAAGGCAAACTGTTATACAGGTTAATTTGCTGTTAGGAAGTTTCTCCTTAAGTCCATGTTGCTTCTCTCCTTGATTAATTTCCATCTATTGTTTCTTATCCTACCTTCAGGTGCTTTGAAGTATAGGTTGACCCCTTCCTCTTTGAGAAAGCCTCTCAAATAATAGAATTCTGCTGTCATGTTTCATCTAGTCCTTTTCTCTAGACGAGCCAAACCCAAATCCTGCAACAGTTCTTCATATGTTTTAGTATCCAGGTCTTTAATCATCTTGGTTGCTCTTCTTGTACTTTTCCCAAAGTCTCAACATCTTTTTTGTAACGTGACCAAAACGATGAAGTATTCCAGGTGTGATCTTACTAAGACTTTATAAAGGGGAACTAATACTTCACGTGATTTTGATTCTATGCCTTTTTATACAACCAAGGATTGTATTAGCTTTTTTGGCTGCTGCCGCATACTACTGGCTCATGTTTAAGTGATCGACCACTAGGACTCTAAGCTCTCTCTCACAGTTACTGTTTTTGAGCCAGATTTCGCCCAATCTGCACTCATACATTTGGTTTTTCCTGCTCAGGTGTAAAACTGCTTTTCTCCACATTAAATTTCATTTTGCTGGATAGGGCCCATTGTTCAAGTCTATCAAGATCATTCAAAATAAGAAATAACAAAATAACATACAAGAGTGGGAAAATGTGTTAGTCTTAAACTTGGTTTTAATACTATGTTTAGAAGGAGAGATAATAAAGTTGAAAGTGAAATCGGATTAATTCCATGTAAGATTTTAATGGGAATCACAAAAAACACTGAAATCTATTATCATTTATTTCCTATTATACAATGCAGGGATATTGGATTTTTTGCAGGCTATTGTAAAGGAGTATTAACAGTGGACTATTTGTGCCAGGTTGTCTTAAGCGCTGCCAGATTTAGAGTGTATTGTCGGGACTTGGTAGCTCTAAGGTCATAATCTCCGCAGCCCATTTCCTCCCTAAATGGCAGGATAGAACCCTTGAGATCTATTAGAATTGATCTTCCATAATTCCCAACAAACACTACCACTTCTATGAATGGAAATCAGGCACCGGATTGGACAAGATTTTGACGAGCATCGACCACTTTAATCTCCGACAGAAAAGAGAAAATGACGTCAAGAGAAATCTTGAAACGCTCTCCTAAAGCGAAGTTAGTGATAGCGCCTACCTACACTTCCCGTCATGCTCTGTACTGGTGGCCGCTCCTTTCTCCAGTCTCTGATTCCGCGCATGCGTTATGATTTAGGTAGTGCTGACGAGACTGACGGGGGGTGGGCTGCTGGTGGGCTGCGAAGTCCGCCCTGGCGTCCCCAGGTAAGGGTCCGCTGGGAGCGGGGAGGGCGCGTGGGATGTTCTTTAGCGAGCAGCAGCGCCGTTCAGCAGCGGCACCGAGCGAGGCTCGGTGGTAGTGAGAGCCCGGGAAATGGAGTCCATGGAGAGAGACCTACGGAGCAGGTTGGTGGGCAGCATAACCGAGGGCCAGATCTCTGTTCTTGTGACAGATTGAGGAGGAAAAGTGGAAGAGTAAACCGAAGAATTGGTCAACCAGATCGTTGGGGAAAAAAATATGGGTAATCTACGGTAGACAGGTTTTGCAAAGCAAATATGGGTTGGGAAGTC